TTTTTGCTATTATCTGTCTATTGTTGTCTGTCTACTGCTTCCTGCTCATCTCACGCTATTTATATCTTTATTACGTAGTCGTCTGGCCACTTTCTATATTCTCGACACCAATTAGTATTAACCAAATCTTCTACAATTGTTTGCTTTTAACTCTTATTATAACAAAACTTAAAAATAATAAAAATATTCACTCACAAATATAAATTAATCACTATTATTTAAACCAAACAGTCTTTTATATCATGAAAATCACCTTTCCTTGAAGATGTATTTCCATGACGTTTTAACTTGTGGATATCAACAGTTGGACATTTTTTACATCGATGTTCACATCATTTTGTACCATAAAGCCTATGTCTTTTTATATCCCAACTGTTCCTTCCTTCCTAACACACTAGCTGCCTACAAAGGTGAGTTTGCTTTCACCCCTATTTCCCTTTCTTCCATATCCCATCTGTGGTTTATGGTGTTACATGTCTCACACAGCACCATTTTGTGTCTCTCACTCCCATTTGTTTATCCATTAGAATCGAACAATTTCTTGTTATATATTTCCCATATCAACCTTACTGGCTAGGTTTGTCTGGTTATCCATATTGTGTATTCTTGCTTTCTCCTGAATCTTGCCTGTTGTTATGTGTATTGGCTGCTCATTTCTGTCATCCTTTTGAAGAGATTATTCAGGCTGGAATGTGGACCACTCTTCACACCTTTGTGTTGCACTACTTGCATCATCTGGCAGCTTCCTGCTCAGCTGAATATTGCCTTCCCTCTGTACTCATTCTCCATACATCGGTCCAACTCTGAGTGAGTAGATTATTTATTTCTCCTTTTTTTTTCAGGGTCCTACTTTACATGTTATGGATCCTGCTCTGTGGTGAGTGGTGCCTATCATGGTAGGGTAATATCCAAAATCCACATAATGAGATCTATAAGGTCTATCATGCTCACTGTTGAGATGGGGTGCTCCACAAGATGACTTGCAGGTTCTTCCTTGTGATATATTGCATCTTCACTATGTTTGTACTGGACTGTACAGTCATAGACAAACATGAGTAAAGCAAAAAGAGAGTGCTGCCAATCTCTAACATTCCTTAGATTGTCAGAATCTGAAATGGTCTGCTTTTCAAAATAGGGTTTTATGGTCACCCATTACATTTTTTCTGGTGATGTGTTCCTCTGTACTCTAATGCATTTCTTTCCTCCTTCTTCCTGTGGAGTATGGAAGTCCTTACCACTTACCAGACCTTTCTTTGTGTGCACAATTCCACACAGTTGAGAGTACAGTAGTGGCATTCTGCCAATATAGAAGGTATGACTATTCTCCTGCTGCAGGTCTGATGTTTTAATCCAGATGCCACCATTCTGGACTGGATTTTTCTATCTGTTTTGTAGCTTGCCCCTCTGGCTGGGAATCCTTTCTCATATCACCACTTGCATGTCAGTTCGTGGATGACTGGTTTTGGTTGGAGCTGGACCAGCTAACATAAGTCCTCACATACTAGTGGGCCGGGAACTTCCTCTTACTACAGACTGGATATTTACATCCCCAATGCCGATTGGTTCTGGACTGGAATTAACTATCCATATTGAATTTCCAACTTTCTAACATCATCCAGATGTACCTTCCCAGGTTTTCTTGCTGCAGGTTGTGCTGAATTTGCACACATGATGGTTTAGGTTCACAGAATGGAGGCTCCTCTTCCCTTCTGGTTCTTAGACCTGAGGTGAATGGTTGAGGACCCTCCTCTGACCATGGACTGGTCAACTTCCTCTTGGTGCCAATGGTCTGGACTGGAGTTGACCTCTCACTTGCAGTCTGACATATCTAGCCACTCTACAAACATTCCTCTTCCTTAGTGATTTGGAATTGTTACCTTATTCCAGTTTTCAATTGCAACATTACACCTTTTTACTCAACATTGGTGAAAAGTATACCTGTTTCAAATGTGGTGCAGTCTCCCATATGTGTATTTTCTCTCCATGGAGATGGCACACTCCATAAGTGCTCTTCAGATGCTTTTGAATAGTGTTCATCTAAGTAATTTTACATTAGTCCCTATACCTTTTCAATGTGGGATTCTAGCTGTAATGTGAGAGGAGGTAAGTAATCGTATTGGAAGTTAATATTTTCCTACACTGAAAATATATTTCCAGTAGATACCTCTTCTCACTCTTTCCATCCATCTTCCTCACTTCCGGCATCATTTCATGCCTAATCTCAAAGTGAAGATTGGGTTCAACTACATAGAGGAAGTCAGCTGCAACAGGAAGGCTTGTGAAACTCCTGTTGTTGGACGATTGTCACATGCTAATTTACATGCTTAAATGCATCTGAACCATGTGGAATTAGGTGGTAGTTGTTTCAAGACTATTGGCAAGAGAAAAATTTGTGCACTAGAGGGCAGAGAAGTTGAGAATAGTTGTAACTGTGAGTGAGGAAAGGTAAGTATATATTGGAAATATATTTTCAGTGTTGGAATATATTAACTTTTACCTTTCTGAACATTTATCAGTATGGTGTGAAGTTTAAAATATTTTATCACTTAATGTTTTTTATTTGATAATGGGAATGATTTTATAGATTTAATGTAGCAAGAACTGATTGAAAATTCTATGAAATTCAGTTTGGTTCTGATTTTTAATATTTAAAATATGATATTTGTATTGAAAAAATAAATATTTCACTGCTTAGTAAAATTTGTTTAAATTTTCTGATAATCCTAACTACTTTCAGGTCCATACATCTTATTGAGCATGAAAGTTCCATGGATCAAAACAACAAACCAAGTGTATCTTGTAAATTATAACTCAGGAAATGAATATAAAATGGAGAAGAAACTACAATACTGTAACTCTTACCTACCACCAGAATCATATCCACAAAAATCTTACCCATATAGACCATTGGCAGTCTGTCCTTCAGTATCTTATTTTTGTCCAATCTGCCAACTTCACATAGACTATAAAGTGGAAGGAATAATTTGTACCTTCGATTTCAGTAAGTTCATTATTCTTAATTCACTATGTTATTTATAAGAGAGTTATGAACTAATACACTTTATGAAGACAGAATAATCCTGTAGTATTAATTTAATGCATGTCTAAAAAGATATTCTTACAGACCTTTACTCATGCTCAAATTCATTTCTTTATTGTTATTAAATAGAGTATTTGTGTGTAGAAGCACATTATGCTAAAATATTAGTGAATTGACCAACAAATATTTATAAGTATAATGAATATTAATTTACAGAGAGAAAATAAATGTTTTAATAGAACATTGATTTGTCTTCTTCAGTTATGAAGAGAGCCCTATGTTCTGTTGAAACATGTAAGATGTACTCTCCAGAAAATGATTTTCATTATGTTTATAAATAATTGTTGGTGAATATAATATTAAAATAGAGTATTTTTAACACTTTTCACATGATATATCTATTTGATCATACATTATAACATTGAGTTTAACTATATATGTGTGTGTAGATCTAGGTTGTGTTGGCTGTTGATTCCATGTATACACACACTGGGACAGATCTTATCAATAGAGTATTTATCCTTTGAGACTGATGCTTCAACATATATTATAATTAAATTAAGCTTAATATAGCATTAATAATAATCCTGTACATATAATTAACTTACAGTAATTCTATTGTAATTCAAACTAAACACCAGAGCTTGTAATTAGGAAAATAGCATTATACTTAAAATTAAAACAAGATAACTTGTATTAAACCTATACATTTAGTAACTCTGCACTGTACATAAATACATGGTATGTGTATTTATATCATAGCTGAGTAGTTGGTAATATTATAATTATATTTATATCTAATCGTATGGTAAATAGTAGTTGCTAATAATGCTAAAAAGAAATATAAAAGCCCTTGAACATCTTGTAGACCATATACAAAATATATTACATAAATTTTGATTAACTCTGTAGAGGAGTTCAATACTAACGAAAGCACGGGCTCTCCTCCCTCATTTATGGAGTTCCAGCACAATACATAGGTAATATGCAGTTCAGATAGTTTGGTGCCATCTTTAATACTGAACTACTGATTTCAGGGAGGCAACCAGCCAGCAGCAGCCACTTGTGTGCTTATTTATCATGTAGTTAGACTGTTGAAGATAAGTCATCCTAAAAAAAAAAGACTTTCATTTATCTTTTTATTTCCTTGGTAATGTTTTGAGCAAGTGCTCATTTTCAAGCCAGAAACAAGCTTGAAAAGAACATTTGCTTGAAACATTGCTAAGGATATAAAAAGTGGAAAGTTTTTTTAAAGTGATTTATCTCCAATAATCTAATTTCTATATTTTTATCATCTTTGCATTTTTCTGTTTCTTCCTGTATATTTGTTTTATTTTGTTTGACTTAAGAAGGCCAGTGAAATAACCATGCGAAAACTTCTTCCTTTTTATATAATATAAGACAGAGTGGATTCCAAAAAAACCCTTTCAGCACTTATTTAAAGACCATGGCAGGTAGTCACCTATCATCATAGTCGTAGATGATTCCTTTACTACAGGTAGTGAGAGAGCCAGCATGAGATTCAGACTTCCTACAAACAGCACAGTGAAGGAACTGAAATAGCACTAGGCAGTTTACTTGATTAATTGATAGATTATTTATGAACAGCTAGGGGTCATATAAACTAATGGATTAATCAAAATTACAATTAAATCATTTGTCACAAAAATAATCAATTAACTAAAGTCAATATTTCTGATTATTCCAACATTTCTTTAAGCAAAATTATGATTAAATTGAAAACAGTAACAGTATGAAACAGTAAACCATGGATTTACCTGGATGTAAGTGCCATGCCATGCAGGGATAAAACTAAATGAAGTATGCAAGCTTATGAGAGAAGCCTTTTTTGTCAAATCCAGCACAATTTTACTGGCAACCGTGAAAGGTCTTCTTTGATATTCACAGAGAATTAGACTGCTGAAAAACTGTACGTTATAGCTAGGAAAGGCAAACGATGGGGAATCAATAGGACAATATGCATTTAGAAGGCCATTTCTAACATCAGTAAAATAATCTCTTCTACCTGGACTCCATATGGATGTCAGTTCCTTTTGACACTACCTCTTGGATTGTCAACATGTATTCAATAAATCAGCATAAATTTCATCATGGATAATAATTTTGCTGACACATATTAAACTAATTGTGTCTAAATTTCGAGTCAGCTTCATTGACATCATTATTCTTGGTCTAATTGTTCCTGGTTTTGTATGATATATTTTATTGATAACCTATTTCTTGCAAATTTCTGTCCCAAATAAGTTATTGGAAAATATTAATCAACCTCACTTCACTTAACATGCTTTATATAAAACAAAATATGCTGATAACAATTATTCATTTGTAAATTTTTCTGCCTATGTGAAATTGTTTTCTATAATATTTCTTCAAGTAAGATTTATGTGCATAGTTTACGATAAATGTAAGGCATAGTAATTTACAAATATTTATTTGATAAATTCACAAGTGACATGCTTTTGGCAAGGCAATGAGGTAAAACATAGCCATAAATTTATTTGGTACTTAGTTATCTACTGTTATAAAAATCAACAAAGAAGTTTTCATTGACTCTTGTTTGTAGGAAAAGCTTCAAATTATATTTTCCAGGAGAGCTTCTGAATTTGAAGAAACCATTAATTGTAGACAGCTCATAAATACAATAGTGAAAGTACTGCTATTGCAATATATGTATATTTTGTATAGGTAATGTTAAGATGGGCATGGATTTTATGTTTCATTATTCAATGTTTTATTGTCTTATATTGTCAAGTGATGATAAAACGTATTTCTAAAGATATACAAAAATATTTCTATACAGTATTATTAAACATAAATTAAATATGAATTACAAAACTATTTAAATCTTTTGATATGATGATCTTAGTTCTCAAGATTGACATCAAGACACTTCCTGGTTCAGGTAAGTTATCATGAAATTTTGATACATATCTTTGTGAATCATATAAAACAACAAGAATAAATTTTCAAAATCATACTATGGAATACTTTAGAAATTTGAATTGCAGAGAAATATATATATGTATTTTAGGTTAAACATACATGTACTTTTTATAGCATGGACAAACTGTTTATTTTAGTCAAAAAAGATTAAGTAATGTCACTTTGATAAATACAATTTGAAAATTATAAAATTTATTGATTTATTCTTTAATACTCCTTCATGAAGTACGTGTGTGCTTTTAAATGCTTTTTTATCTTTTGTTAACATGAATAACATAAGCTATTTTTCTAGGATATAAATTTTCCTGTGGAAAGTTTGTAATCGTCAAATTCTACAAAGGTAATAAGTATGAATTTGCACCTGAGATAAGTTACAGTGTGAAAAAGGACTGCTATTGTAACCAACTGAATATTGGTAAGTTTTGGTGTATGAATGTTCAAACATATAAGATTTACTGGTACTATAGGAGAAAATATGTTTATATTAATATTTAATTATACTTTCATATGATATGTCTTGTTGTTTTTTTAAGTGAAGAAATAACATAGTATGGATATAGTCTTTTTTTTTGTAATGACAAATTGATTGTATATTAAGAATGTTTTATCAGATAATATTTTAACATTACCTAGGTATGGGTTTTCTTAATTTTTTGTGATTGTCTTATCAATAAATGAAAACTCGATATAAGTGATTAATATGCATTAAAGTTTTAGGATCCAGTTTAATGGAGGTTTTCATATTTATACATACCTAACAACAAATAAATGTTTTAAAAACCTGTATACTTTTAATTCATCTAAAATTCAATGCAAATTAGTTTAATATTTAGATGTTTCTCATTAAAAATTCAGTTTAAGAAAATTAGATTTTATGTAATTTGTTATTTATATAGTGAAATTTATAATCCTTCATCAGAAAGAAAAGTTTCAAGATTGTAAAATTCTGTGGCTAGCTTTAGTATCCATATTTTGTTAAACTTAAACATTTTTTACAGTGTAAAATGAAACATAAGTCACTTTAAACAAAATATAACCTGTATTATGATAATTGGGTGTTGTAGTTTTGAATTTTATTCACCCAAGTAGTTTTATAATTGAAATATAAAAGAATGGACCTTTACATGATGATATGAGGGTAGGTCTTTTGTGGATTGGTGTTTTTAAATGCACCATATTGTCATGTTTTTCTTTAAAAAGTATCTTAGCTAAATCTTATGCTTATGTTTTCTCTATCTTTTGGTTTTTGTGGTATTTCTCCAAGAATACAAGATGATAATACACAAATGATAAGACTTTTTGACCTCAAACAACAAATTCTTTGAAAATAAAAAGTTTTGTTTTAGAAGAATCAGACTTTGCATACTGTATACATTGTATTGTGTTGTGTCTATATGTATATAAAGTTTTTGGCAAATACTGTAAAATGTGTAATAAACTAAAACAAAATAAAACTATTAGTTACACTTCTTACACATATTTGTAAGATGTATCACAGAGCAACAATGGACTTAGCCTATATAAAGCTTTACAAGAGCACAATCCTGATATTCAATTTTAATTTTAAGAGCTAGAAGCTAACCTTATCTATGATCTTGAATTACAATGAAAAGGTATCTAAACTGACTCTGAAAGCAACAAACTACAGAAATTTCCTGAAAAGCTGGAAAATTACCATTTTGCTCATTAAATAATTGGAAATTTTTTTTCTCTAAAGCTTAGCCTATATCAAGCTTTACAAAAGCACAATCCTGATATTCAATTTTGATTCTAAGAGTTAGAAGCTACAATGATATTCAGTGCATATTAAATTATAAATATAAAACAATACAATAACAAAGTAAATTACAAATAACCCAAGAGATTTTAGCTCATCTTGATTAATAACATTAGTTACTCAGTATTTTATTTAAGGCTATACTTGTTTGTTTGTTTTAAGTTAAGCACAAAGCTACACAATCGGCTATCTGTGCTCTGCCCACCACGGGTATCGAAACTCGGATTCTAGCATTGTAAGGCTATACATGAACATATAATAACACTGTAAGTAGGAAAATGAAAATATATCTTTGGTTGATAAGGTTAAGGAAAGCAATACTAATTTGTGTTAGATAATACATGACTGTTTAGTGTAAGCATTATTATTTAGTTTATTTTGTGACTTGATATTTACTGATTGTTTAGTTTTTAAGACAGGAGTGTAGAAGATGGATTGTTTTAAAAGTGTTAGTTGGGACAAATTTTGTTATGTAAATCTGTACGAATTGTAAATTGTGTTTGAAATTAAAATGTTGTCTAGGCTTTACTAATGTTGTTGATGTCACATTACTCGGATCTTTGGAATTTTTCTCATTACTGTAACTGAGTATGGTTACATTATTAGCTGCTCACATAGTTTGTCAAATTCTTGGCCTCAGTGAACAAATTTTATATCTATATATCTAGGTGGCTTGTGAGCCAAGTTAAGTAGAAAGTAAAGTGAAGTCATGTGAGAGATAATTAGACAGATCTAGACTGAGTGATTTGGCAGTTTAGCTGTATTGGGTGATTTATAAAAAAAGTAGAGAAAAAGGAAAGTAAAGTGAAGAAAAAAGTTATAAAATATGAAGTTAGCTGGCATGTGAGTGAGTAGCCATAATTATTCTCCTTATCTCTATTATCACAGCTTAATAGAGATGAGGAGAATAATTTGTCTTGTCAAAGGGTGTCCTAAAGTAATTGACCCCATTTGTGTGAAATTTGATGTAAATGAAACAATTATTTGAAGTTCAGGATACAACTATGGTAACCCTTAGGATAGCGTAAGTGAATTGTTCACTGATACTATTGTGATAAGAGTAGAGAAAAATAGTTCATTTTGTCAATTGGATTCTATAGTAATTGAATTAGCTTAAGTGGACTTTTGATAAGAAAAGAGAATTATTTAGAGTTTTAGATGCAATTGTGATATTCCATAGTGTAAATAATTTTTGTAAATACTTTTGACTTGTTTGGAATATATTATTTTAAAACAAGTGGATTGTGTGCTGTCTGTTTATTGTTTGAATTTATCGCCAACACGTCACAGAAACCTACTGTAAAAGAATCCCAGGTCACTCACATATATAAAATCCTGACAATTGGTGATATGGCATAATTGTTTTCTAAGTAATGTGATGTAATAAATATTAATTTACATCTTGGAATTAAGTTACAATATCATCTAATAATGCATTTCTTTTAGGCCTCTATCTCTTACTGTGCAAGAAAAGTCCTTGGAGCAAGGTTGGCCACAATTATGGTGCTATGCAAATGACAGATCTAGTCTATCTTGTAAATTATAACTCAAGAAATCAAGAAAAAATTGTCAAGCAACTAAATTATAGTGAACTTCATCCACCAAATGGGCCACCTACAGATTGTCCTTCAATTCCTTATTCCTGTCTCAACTGCCATCATAACATAGACTTTAAATTGAAGGAAATTATTTGTACATTTGATTTTAGTAAGTTCAGGCATTATAAAACATTTTCTATGTAATTTTATATATATTGCTTTATATATGTAGCTAAGTATCAAAGGATTAGATATAACTGTTGAAACATACTTTTTAGTTAGCTGTTTAGTTATTTATACACTATTTCATGAGCCAACATATGATGTAAACATGGCTTTGTGATGCAATCGTATCATATTTTTCTACCTGCTTTAGTGATATAAGAGGCTTTTCAAATTCAATGACGAAGAACCCACTTTGAAACTAATAATGCTTGGAGATGGCTTGAATGGGTA